AACTCATTGTATCACAAGGACTGCTGGAGGAATTGCAAATGAGAAAAGCATGGTACTGTGGTCAAAAGTGACATGATAATCTAAAGTTATGGGAGACAAATTTGAAGGGGAAAAAGCTAGAAAACATCAAGGATAACATAGGCAGACAAAATAAATGGCCAAGAAGAATTTGTAATGAGGAATTAGAGCAGGAAATCCTTACCCATGCCTGGAAAGACTGATCCAGCAGGAAGTTACGTACAGGGTCTGGATGGTTTTCCATACACAGAGGATGAGACAGCTTACTTGTAATCAGGTGACAACTGTCATTATCAGTATGGCAACACTTTGTTGGCTACTGGGGAAGGAGACAGAATGTGTATGAATGTCCTGAGTGCGGTAAAGTCAGTTCTTGATTGACTGATTGATTAATTCCCTCACTGAGGACAGAAAATCTAAGCAGCCTACCTTTTATAAAGGTAATCCCATTGAAAATAGACTGTGTTTGAGGCATCAAAATTACAACCTGCACACACAAAAGCAGCTTATAAATACACTATACCAACTTTGCGCTATAAATGCCAGACATGGACAGTCCTAGAAAGAAAAAAAAGGCAAAATTACATGTGAGATAAGATGTATTAGAAATGTGGCAGGAAAAACAAAAAGAGACAGTCACCAAAAAAGAACTAAGAATAATGATAAGCGCAGTTCCAGTAAATGATTTCATAGAACATCAAAGAATCGAATGGTTTTATCATCTGGTCAGAATTGAACAAAATCAGCCAGCATCTAGAGCAGACTGCATGAGAACAGCTGGCTACAGGGCAAGAGGCCGACCAAGAAAGAGATGGGTGGAGGAAGTAAATGAGAAACTACAGAAACGTGATATAACATTTACACAAGCTAGCAAAAGTCAAAAAGCTACATCTAACATCTTGCTGTGACGCTTTTTTGGCATAAGCAATAGAGTTGAGTAGAGTCAAGAATTGAAATCACAGCACTCAGAGCATTCCTATGCATGCTTCATCCTCATCTTCAGCAGCCAGCACAGAGTTCCAATACTTATGGTACCTGTCACAATCTTGTCTTTCCTCTGAGTGTAGTGAGCCGGCCAGACCCTCTGGTTACACCCAGGTGCCTCATTCTCTCCGGGCTATAATAATCTTCTATACTGATTCTGTTACTTGTTCCAAAAGGGCCTTGACCACATCTGCCATGTCATGTATCAATTCACCACCCAGTGGTGTGGATCCAGCCAATCTGTCTGCCTGTTCATTACCCACAAGGACGGCATGACCTGGAGAAAAGATCCAAAGTATGCTCACCACCTGTGACCTTTCCAGTGAGGCTTGCCACTCTTCTCGAAGCATCCCTGTCTTCATCTTTTTCAGCATGCTTTCAGAGTCTGTTACAATTACGACATGTGTATGCATCTTGTTCTCTAGCCACCCGAGAGCTGTAGAGCAAAAGAAGAAGAGGAAGAAAAAAAAAATCCCACAGCAGATATTGCCATTGTAGGGTAAAGTGTTATATCTTCACAAATGCTAGTCCACAACGTTTCAGTTGGAATAACCTGTTTGTTAGCTAATCGTCTTTCTTTCCCAGACTTATCTGAGAAGCTTATGGAAATGATCTGATACCCATTTTTGTGTAACTGGGTTGATCTCAGAGCTGAAGTGGTTCGGAAAATATCCTGCACAGACGGTGCTGGATCATCATCATCATCATCACCATCACCATCATCATCAGCGGTCAGGAGGTCCTTCACAAAAGGTCACTCTCTTCATGGCTTGCCTGAAAGTCTCTCTACCCAAATCTCCAGCCCTATGTGCTTTCATAGCCGGTGTATCTTCAGTGTCTTGTTTCAGCGTTTGTGGAAGTCTGCCTCTGCTTCATTTTCTGGAAACTATCCTCCAACATCGTTCTCTCCAGACCACCGTGACCTTTAACATGGCCAAAATACCCAGGGCTTTCAGTGCAGGATGATGTTTATCATCCAGTTCTCTTTGATGCTCAGATCCTGTAGGATAGTACAGGACCCTTCTCCACACCTTTAGACACACTGGGCATAAAGGGCTACACCTATATTTTATGGACTAATCGATGGGTGATGGTTTCAACATCACACCGGCTGCCTTCACTTCCCAGGACAGTGCCTGGGAGCCAGTGTCATTTCGGTCAGGACCCGAACCCCTGCTCCATAGGCGAGCTTCTAACCGCTACACCACAGTGGCTCCCAGATCATGTAGGACGATATTAATAATTATGATGGTGGCAAATCTGTCTCCATGAATATTACATTAAAGGATGTCCTGTATATGTGCTCATGATATTCGAATTTAAGGTGACCAACTCTTTTGTACTGTTATTTTGTTCTCTCTTCTAACCCACCCCCTACTGTAGTAAAACTTAATGTTTCGATCCATCCAATAGATATTACAGGGATTCAGTTTGATGGAATAATCCAGAATCGGCCATTTGTCAAAATACCTTGAGCTGATGATTGCTTGACATATCCAGTGCATAGAAACTGATAAATGTTTGAAAGAGAAAGAATGATTGCTTGACATATCCAGTGCATAGAAACTGATAAATGTTTGAAAGAGAAAGAATGATTGCTTGACATATCCAGTGCATAGAAACTGATAAATGTTTGAAAGAGAAAGAATGATTGCTTGACATATCCAGTGCATAGAAACTGATAAATGTTTGAAAGACAAAGAATGATTGCTTGACATATCCAGTGCATAGAAACTGATAAATGTTTGAAAGACAAAGAATGATTGCTTGACATATCCAGTGCATAGAAACTGATAAATGTTTGAAAGAGAAAGAATGATTGCTTGACATATCCAGTGCATAGAAACTGATAAATGTTTGAAAGACAAAGAATGATTGCTTGACATATCCAGTGCATAGAAACTGATAAATGTTTGAAAGAGAAAGAATGATTGCTTGACATATCCAGTGCATAGAAACTGATAAATGTTTGAAAGAGAAAGAATGATTGCTTGACATATCCAGTGCATAGAAACTGATAAATGTTTGAAAGAGAAAGAATGATTGCTTGACATATCCAGTGCATAGAAACTGATAAATGTTTGAAAGAGAAAGAAGGATTGCTTGACATATCCAGTGCATAGAAACTGATAAATGTTTGAAAGACAAAGAATGATTGCTTGACATATCCAGTGCATAGAAACTGATAAATGTTTGAAAGAGAAAGAATGATTGCTTGACATATCCAGTGCATAGAAACTGATATATGTTTGAAAGAGAAAGAAGGAATGCTTCATCCTCTTGTTTCTTTTGCATTTAGTTCTAAAATCTGCTTCTTGCATGTCTCAATTTCTGAGAGATGACTTATCCTTGCCCGTCAGCAGTTCTAACTAGTTCTCAGATCTCACCTTGAATTTGCTCAGTTATTTTTTTAATCTGTAAATTTAATTTTCAAATCTCTAAAGTTGTCTGTGGCTCTGAAACCCAGAGTACAAATGACAGAAATACAGCCTTATTACAGACTTCTGAGAGTAGTCTTACGATGAATCTTTGGACCCATCAAAGATGTGGGCAGTGGGGAATGGATTTGATTTGATTTGATTTGATTCAAGAACCGACATCACAGCACTTGGGGCATTCCCATAAGCACTCCGTCCCCATCTTCAACGGCTAGCGAGGAGTTGTAAATGGAAAAAACAAAAAGTGAGGAATGGAGAAAGTGAGAAGCATCTGTGAGATTCATAATCTGTTTAAATCAAAGAAAATTGCTAGCTTTGTTGAGGGTAATAGGCTGAAACAGCTGGGGCATATATATAGAGAGAGAATGTCAGATGTCAGTGAGGCAAACACTGTACACAAGGGAGTTGAATAGTCGTAGACCATGAGGCAGACCAAAAAAGAAAGTGGAGAGATAATATCTTGGCAGACTTGGAGCCACCAGTTATAAAGACTAGGCCAATCACAAAGATAAATGGAAGTGGGCAGTATCTACAGCGGTGATCCAATAGACCCAAATGCTAAAGAAGATAATAAATTGTCTGACCAGTCTAAAATAAATTTTGTGTTTCAAATTTTGCATTCAATTTTCGAAATTATGTGATAGAAGTCTATGTACCTTTACCAATAATATGTCCCACATACCTCAGCCACACTAAACACAGTTTTCAGCTATCAATGTGGTTCAGCCTGAAGTGTGTGCATAATCTCAGTCATTGTGTTTAATTTGACTCATATTTTTTTTCTTGCTTTTTTTAAACACTCTGGTAAGGAAGAGCTGAATTTTAATTGTTATTTCTACAGCATAATTGTGTGTTTATAGTTTTTTTCATTCATTCTCTTTTATTTTCAGCTTAATAAAAATGTAGCATCATTAGAAGTTTGTTCATACTTGTATTTGATACCAGCAGCTATTCAACTGATAGTTGAATATGCATTCATGTTAGATCGTCTGTTGTTATTGTAGTGTTCCATTAGTTAAGTATATCTTTTATTGTTTGACCTTTTTTTTAAAGTTAATAATAAATGCTTTATAGTGCCGTGGCAAGGACTCCAGGTGTAGTGTGAAGTGTTTAGATCTTTATATATCCATGAAAATTGGGGAGGGGGAAGGGAAACATGATCCAGTATACTTCCCTGTTGGTTTTGGGACCCTGTTTTGCCGGGGGAAAGGGGGGGGGGGAATTGACCCACTCTCTCCCCCAACAAGCATGTCATAAAAGGCTGTTGACTTTGAAGTCATGGTGTATTTCCCTGAGAGGCAAGGAACCACCATTCGGCCTACAAATATACAGATTTTCACACACAATTCAAGTTCTGGAACAAGACCAAAGTCCAGAAGTGGATGAGCAACCAGAACTTTCCATCAGAGTTCACAGCTGGTAAGCACTAAGAAGAAGAAGAAGATCCAAAATCCATTTTATGAAGCAGAAAAGAAATATCCTTTACAAACCAAAGCAAACCAAATGTCTAAGCTTATTTAAGATAGAATAATTAACCTACCTGCTGTTGATTCTTTCTAGGAGCCATTTCCAACATCTCCTGATGCTAGTGGAAGACCTCCACCCATAGAGATTCCAGGCTCCACCCCGCTTTCTGATGACAAACGCCGTGAGCTTGAGTCCATCCTGTCACAACAGAAGAGGAAGGAAGAGAGTGGGGAAGGAGGAGATGACCTGGCTAGCAGTCATCTGAGCCCTCTTCACAAGGCCAGGAGGCATTGGAGAAACTGGGTAGGAGGTAAGCATGTTCAGGCCTGTCCTGACTGTTTGTTTGTGCTTGATTATTTTCTCAACACCGACTTTTCAGAGTGATTTCTTTAGTGATAATTGACTCCTTCAGGATGATATTTTTTCTCGGGTTTGGACAGTATTAATTTTGAGCTGAATTTTTTTACTGCAACATGACAACGATAAAAAATTCCTAAAGAATAAGTATTGGCTGTTTAGGGACAAAAAATGTATCGGATTATTCTTCTGGAGACGAGGCGGCTGAAATATCAGCTGCACACAAAGTAGCCAAAAGGATGACTGGCCCGATCGGTCGGCCCTATATAATACAAGCCATGGAGATTGGCTGGCAGATTTTCGTACTAGCCAGTCAGCATTACTTGCACATGTGGGTTGTTCATTGACGGCTTTCGAGGAAGTTTGACGTGGTCGGTAATTTTACATCCATTTTTTGGGGGGGATTAACTGTACTCAACAATGGGGAAAAGGACTGTTGCATCATAGCAACCAAAACATAGTTGGAGGCAGGAAAATGAGTAGAACCGTGTGCCAGAAGTGTCTGAAGGGCCTCCATAGGCCTTACTTCCTAAAACACATGTGTTAGGACTTATTCAAGCTTCATCTATAAAAAAATTCAACCACATTTTTTTTGTTAGTCATATTTGTTCCCAGTGTAAAATAAAAAAAATGCTTGCATAATTTATGCAAATCAGAATAGTTAATTTGAATAAATGTTGAGATTTCAGCCTGATTCATAAATGTTCTGTTAGCTCATTCAATTTCCTACATGAATATATATAGTTTTCTATATGTTAATTAAAACACTTAATTATTAAAATAATTTTTGTGTGTGAAAGCTAAGGGAATCCCCTCCTGAAGGCTTTGTCTTTTTGGCACTGAAACTCCAAAAAATCTCCGTCTCTAGAAGGTTAAAGAGAAATGAATATAGAGTAAACCTAAACAATTTAACTATCAGAATTATAACAAACAAGTATTAAGATCACACAACAGTCAAGGATGTTAGACACATATGGACATTTTCTATTCATGAAATGTTGTGCTTACCTCACTCTTTACTTGTTCAACAACACTGCTATCCATTTCCAAGAATTTGCATGCTTCCTCCGTTCAGTTGTGCTCCAGCCAGTCTTTATTTGAAACAATTCATTTAAATACTTTGCATTTTAGGGCCATTTTTCTTTTGTATGACGTCAAATTTCACAACAACCGAATTTCTGACACAGCTGATCGAAACAAGGATGATCCTATTGAAATATTTTGTTCAACTGCATCCTAACCTATATTATTAGGAATATGTTTGGCTCTTGCATTATCAACCATAATATCAAGACTGTTGTCTCTATATGGCTGAGATTATAATCAATGACAGAGCTGTACAAAAAGTTCTAGACCTTCACCCTTATTGTTTGGTCTGGAGAATCACACTGAATTAATTATAAACACATAGAAAATTAAACCTATCGCCATACCAGCTAGGTGCTCTGTGTGGATTAGGTCAATGGTTCAGTTACAACAGTCGGAATATTCTTGCTGGTGATTGTGTTCACAAACCAAGTTCTTAATAATGCTCTGGACTTTATGTGGGAGTCGCCGTGGCCGAGCGGCTAGACGCTCGCCGCGGATCGGAAGGTCATGGGTTCGCTCCCTGGCAGAGCCGGACTTTCTTCAAAAATGGCCTTGACTCCCAGGTCGACCCAGCCTTGAGTGGGTACCGGGTGCAGTCCCGGGAAAGTAAAGGCGGCCGGCGTGATACTGACCACATCACCCATCTTGTGCCGATTGGTCTATAAAAATGTAGGTCTAGCCCTATATGCCATATACGCCTTAAGGCGTGGGAAAGGGTCCTTTACTTACTACTTTACTCTGGACCTTATGTATATTAGGTCTGATGCCTTGCCCTCTCAGATAAAGGTGAAAGAATAAATAGTGTCACACTCTTTTATATAGAGTAGGCCAAGCAGCCTATTCCCAGACAACCGTTTTTAGATAATAGAAACATGCTGACGCCCTAACATACTAATAGACTGTACAGTTTTTTAATACATTCTAATGGGTTCTCTTGCACTTTCTATTTAGAATGTGCACTGTACTAAGACTACATGACCTACAAATATTGTTCTAAACATTGCCACATAACTTTGACATTTTACACATTAATGTATCCAAGTGTGTAATTTTGTTTATTCTTTTTTTTCAACTCTTTGAGTCCCAAGAAATGTATCATACGTTCCTAGGTTCCTAACTGGAAGCCCAATGAACGCATGATACGCCAATTTTACATCTCTTTTGACTACCCCTTGGGCCTCTAATGCTAAATCCCCTGGGACTCAAAAAGTTAATGATTCACTATTCAGTTTTGAGTTTTTGGCATACACGAACCTCTTGTATTTTATGTTTTATTTCAGTCAGACCACCTTACGGTAATACATGTTGTTTTCCCCAAGTCTAGTCAGTTGGTCACTGATTGTATATCTGCTGCTTATTTATATGTTATATATTTTAGTGATGTCGAATATTAGTTTTATTTTTTCTTCATTTTGTTTGTCTACTTGATTTGCTTTATTGCTTTTTTTACATCAGCTCTTTGTTTTGTCTTTTGGCTTTGTGTCATTGTGTTGCTGTGGTTTAGTTTTATTTTATCTTTGTTTGTCTACTTGATTTGCTTTATTGCTTTCTTACATCAGCTCTTTGTTTTGTCTTGTGGCTTTGTGTCATTGTGTTTTGTTGCTGTGGTTTACTGTGTGTGTAGTTTAGTGGTTAGGCAACTGTTGATCTTTGAGGAGGCCGACTGCCTTCCCTCCTTGAACTGTTTCTAAGGCTCGCACTGCTTCTAGAATCATGTGCTGGAAAAATTTCATCATAAGGTGGGTTTGAACCAAGGATACTATGATCAGCGGCTAGTGAACTAACCATTGTGTGACTGCTATTCCAGGAGTGTAATAAATATTAAAAAATAAAAATGTATTTTTATCATCAACATAGTCATTGGCGTTAACGCTGCCACCGTCGTTCCCATCTTCTGATCTCCAGCAGAATGTATAAGTTAATGTTATGATAGTTTTCCATGCCATGACAGAAGAATGATAATTTTCCACACCATGACAGAAGAATGATAGTCTTCCATGCCATGACATAAGAATGATAGTTTTCTCCACACCCTAACAGAAGAATGATTGTTTTCCACACCATGACAGAAGAATGATAGTTTTCCCCACACCGTAAGAGAAGAATGATTGTTTTCCACACCATGACAGAAGAATGATAGTTTTCCACAACATGACAGAAGAATGATAGTCTTCCATGCCATGACAGAAGAATGATAATTTTCCACACCATGACAAAAGAATGATAATTTTCCACACCATTACAGAAGAATGATAGTCTTCCATGCTATGACAGAAGAATGATAATTTTCCACACCGTGACAGAAGAATGATAGTTTTCCACACCATAACAGAAGAATGATAATTTTCCACACCATGACAGAAGAATGATAGTCTTCCATGCCATGACATAAGAATGATAGTTTTCTCTACACTGTAACAGAAGAATGATTGTTTTCCACACCATGACAGAAGAATGATAGTTTTCCCCACACCGTAACATAAGAATGATTGTTTTCCTCACCATGACAGAAGAATGATAGTTTTCCACACCATGACAGAAGAATGATAGTCTTCCATGCCATGACAGAAGAATGATAATTTTCCACACCATGACAGAAGAATGATAGTCTTCCATGCCATAACATAAGAATGATAGTTTTCTCCACACCGTAACAGAAGAATAATTGTTTTTCCACACCATGACAGAAGAATGATAATTTTCCACACCATGACAGAAGAATGATAGTCTTCCATGTCATGACAGAAGAATGATAATTTTCCACACCATGACAGAAGAATGATAGTCTTCCATGCCATGACAGAAGAATGATAATTTTCCACACCATGACAGAAGAATGATAGTCTTCCACACCATGACAGAAGAATGATAATTTTCCACACCATGACAGAAGAAGGATAGTCTTTCATGCCATGACAGAAGAATGATAATTTTCCACACCATGACAGAAGAATGATAGTCTTCCATGCCATGGTAGAGGTCTGTCAGTAATCTCTTGTTAGTTTTTTGCAGTTCTTATTTCGTTGATCTTTTAATTTGTTTTACACTTCCTTGTCCTGTTGTGCCCTTATATTTCTCTTAAGGCTAACAACTGTTTCTCCCTTCTATTATATCTTGTGCATTTTGATTTCATGGCTGTAATCCAGCCCAGCACCTTTGGCTTCTCTCGTCAGCGTTTGCTTTAAGGTTTCTCTAGGATATCTTCCTCTTCTCAATCCCTCAGTTTTCAACCTGTCTGATGATTCTCTGCTCATCTCTTCTTAAAATGTTTCCAGCCAGGTCTCACACATTGTGCAGTTATCCCCCAGTGTATCAGTTATACTGCTGTGCCCATCCAAGAGCACAGATATGAATTGAATTGTCTTAAACCAAACTGACACACTGTAAAAAAGTGAGCTTATTTTAACAATACATTGGGTTTCAGATACACACTTATCTGATGTTGTGAAATGAACTGCTGCTTGTAATATTATATATTTTTCTGCTGCATATGTTAGTAGCTTTTTCTGTGTTAGCTTTCAAATTTGTTTCAAAGCCATATCTGTGTAATTCATCGAATTTTATCCTGTTAGTTTAATTCTGCAGTGACTTTGCTTAATTTAGCTTTTGAAGTTGTGGCTATTAGTTATTTCTACATTATGCAATTGGAACTCTTCACTTGCTGCTGAAGATGAGGGACTGAGCACTTATGGGAGTGTCCGAGTGCTATGATGTCGATTCTTAATTCAATATTAACCCTCCTGCCATGGGAACACTAAAAATAAAATGGGTCATAGCCCCATTAGTCCCCCCCCCCCCCCCCCCCCCCCCCCCCCCCAAAAAAAAAAATTGTTTAAAAGAAAAAAATTTTCACAGGCCACTAGTGAATTTAAAAAAAAAAGTATCAATATTTTTAAATATGTTTTTTCTAAATATATGAAGACGGGAAGGGAGCTATATGGAACAGAGTGAAGCATAAAATGAAATACATTGCCCAGGGCCTAAACAATGTATCTGGTGACTCATGTCATAACCTCTATCACTGAGGCATTTGGGACAATTTGATGTCAACATGTTTTTGAAAAAAGCTGTTAGTTTAACCATACCTGTCTCTTTTCCTCAAATAGCAATTTACAGTTTATGTATTCAGATCCTGACCTCCTAACCACTTGTGCAGACACAAACACAGCCAATAGTATTAACAGTATGTCCTGTAAACCGGTTAGAAACGCTGGTCAAGCGCCTCTCTCTGGATGCAACCAGAAGCAGTCATTTTTGTGGCCTTTCACTGAAACAGGTTTAAAGTAAAGGACATTTTTCATGCCATTTGTGCATCAGGCATATGGTGCTGGGGCCCATACTTTTGGAGACTAATGGTTGCTTAAGGGGTGATGGGGGTTACCATTACACAGTCTGCTTTTACTTTCCAGGATATTTCCTGGTACCCCTTTTAGACTGGGTCAACTGGAAACCTGAGGTCAATTATTTTAATGACTGCCTTGATTTGAACCCATGATCTTTGGGCCGGCAGGTAATCAATCACCTGTGCTACAGTGAACCCCTAGTTTTACAGTTAACTGCTTTATTAAGCTTGTGTAGTAGTGTTGTTTAGATCTACACAGTGGTTTTTCAACCTGGAGAAGGCAAGCAAGTTTCAAGGAAGCATCTAACAATTTTTTTGCTTGTAATAATCTGTTATGCTAACATTTGTTTCAATTTCAGTATAAATAAAGTATTTAAAAAAAACCTTTAAAAACAAAAAGCCAAAGACGTTTTTATTTTCCTGAGCGGTACGTACAGCAGATATTAGAAGACAAAACCATCTCATTGATATTCAGACTCTAAATTACCAGTTGTTGGTAATTTATTTCTTATATATTATTTAGCACTTTGATTTTTGTGAAAGTTTCTTATTATATTCCTCTTTTTAATCACGTTCTCATCCCTCCCGAGATTTAGGGTAGGGAGCAGCCGTAAAGGGGGGAGGGGGTCTTGCCATCTGTTTAAGTGGGTGCCACTTGAAGAAAAAGGTTGAAAGTCGTTATTCCACAGCGTTTTTACTTTATTGAGTATGTGTATTATTAGGCCTGTTATCTGATGTTTAGTTGTTCCTATGTAACCTGTATAGCAACCATAATTGTTTCAGGTGATAGTCACCACTGGAATCTGTGGAGTATCTTAGATTGTTAGTTGTATTCTATGTTCTGTTTATTGTTAAATTTGTTTTATTTTATAAGATTTGTGTTATTTGTATTGTAATTGCACTGTTTCTACGAGTTAAAAGTTTAGCATTTCACTGGAAACTTGTCAAACATAAATATAGTTTTACTGGTTTGATAGCCTAAAGTTAATTTGTTTCTTATTGTTTTCCCCATTTTAAAAATTTTATTTATACTTAAGCATGTTGCCAAGATGAGACATTTAAATTTACTCTTGAAAATAAAAAGTAGATCAGATATATTTATGAGGTTTAAACATTTTAACCTGTACTGTTTTTTTTTCTAAAAGACTTTGAGATGAAACCTTGATTTCTGTTGTGTAAATATCTTTTTCTTTTGTAAAATATATGATACAGAGCTTTGTATAGATTTTATAAGTGATACTGTGTTAAAAACTGATTTCTCTTTAACTTACTGAGCCTATTTGATCATCTGCCGTTTCAAATTGCTATAACCATTGTGGAATGTGTCACCTTTGCAGGGACGCAGTTACAAGTGACAATGTTGTTACTAGAATCCTTCATCTGCACGAATAAAACGGTGCTAATACAGCTCTTATATATTAAAAAAAAATATGCAAGAATGGTGTTTACTGAAATTTGTTTCCCCAATCAATTACTATTTTTTGGTTAATTTGGTATAGTTTATTTTATTTTTAGTTTAAATGACATTTTTGTGTGCGTTTGTTTGATGCCAAATCCATTCTATCACTTATAGTTGGGTTTTTATAAATCTGATTGTTTCCACTTTTTATTTTTGTTGTTTTATTTATTGCGTTATACAGCTTTTCTTCACCTCAAAGCCATTTTGTTTGTCATGCGGACTGAATTGACCATAATGGCAGCTTTCTTTAACTAATTGCTTCTGTTTCATGTTTTGCAGCATTTGAATTTATTTTCTTTGGAATTATTTGACACGTGAACTTTAAAATTTATCTGCATTGTTCCCTAATACAGATCTAAAAAGCCACCATTCTTTCACACATTCATGCATTCCGTCAAGCCCTGGAAGATCTTTTAAGTTTTTCTCTCACAAAAGTGAGTGCATAGTTACGCAAGCATGAAGCTGCCAGTGCCACCACATTTGCCACACCGAAT